GGACAGTTGGTGAAGAAATAGAAGCGTCATAGAGACCTGTATTCACTAAGAATTGTTTTTGTTTGTTTTATTAAACCCTATAGATGTTGCTCGGATAACACATACTATGTATTATTCTTTCACTATTTTCTAAAATGCATTTATTATAATAATGTCTCGAGACTTCGTATTTACAAAAGTGCGGCGGTATTTCTTTTTTTTTTTATATTGAGCTGTCTTATTCCTTTTCTAACTTTGTTTGTTCGTTTCTAAAAAGAGATGTGAGTTGAACTTACATGTAGGAAAGAATGCAGAACATGAAAAAACTGCCTTTAACTTTACAGAGACATCAAAATGAAGGAAAAGCACTTGAAATCAAAGGGAAAGCACTTAAAATAAGTAATGAAATTATGCAAATATGGATTGGTGTCAGGAGTCAGTCAGTCGATTGAAGGAAATAATTAATAAACGAATGCTAGAACGAAGGGAAACCGATATCTATTACTATTGAACTAAATTAATGTATTTTTCTTTGATACGAAGAGGAATTTTTTAAAAAATTAACCCAAAAAACAAGCGGTTTCAATTGACAACCATTAAGCATTAATTTCACTAGATCTATAGTTTCAGTTTCTCACTCCCCTAAACATTACAAAAAATGCAATGCAAACATAGCTGTGTCGCATGCACATGGCTTACATAATTATTCTGTTTCTCGAAACACCATTCTATTTAAAGCAACGAGGTGATTCAAGAGCTGCTTAGCCTGTTTCCAAACTTTTGGTACAATTAATAGGGAAAATGTGAGCGTTTTGTGCGTTTTACATCTCTAAGCATAGATCGAAAGCAGGTAAGGTTGATCTGTCGTGTTTAGCTGGAAATCTCCTTTTAACGAGGAACACGTTTCGTGTGTTTATTCCGAATAAGTTGCGGTTATGTCTTGTTTGGCAGAACTTGACTCAGTTGCAGAGCTTTTTGTCTTTGGGTGCATTTGATGTGGACGGTGTTAAAGAAAATTCTAGGGTTTCGTGGCAAGCAAGCTCAAATTATTGAATCTTCTGTTATAGCGAGTAGATAATAGCTATACGACTTCTGGTGAATTGCTAAAACAAATTGGAGGATATGAAGAAGTTAACATTGATGCGTGTTTTCTTATCGTCTATGATTCAAATGGTATTCCCCCCCCCTCTTTGTCTCACTATCGTTCTTTGTTAAAAAAAAAAAATTCTTACGTCTTTCGACGCGTTGCACAATTTTAATATAAGCTCTAAACTCTAGGTAACTAACCATTTACCAAGATAACTGCACGGTTTTCACAAAGTGTAAAGTATGCCTTGGGGCTCTCGTGGCCTGGAGGTTAGGGTTTTCACCCCTCGTTCAAAGGTCCCGGGTTCGAATCCGGGTAGCGACGGACAATTTTTCTTCTCTATTTTTTTTTCCTTTCACCTTTCTTTCCTGCTCTCTAGCAATATATGTGCTGTCGTCTGCTTTCGTTTCCACTTTCTACCCCTATTCCCTCACCCCCTTTGCCCACTACTCTGGGCTCCTGACTCTTTCTACAGCCTTTCCACTGCTTCTGGACTGCTGTCTTTCAGCCACACCCCTGATCTTCTGGTAGGAAAGGTCTACACCTATAGCCTTCTTGGACAAGGGCGAAAAATCTGGGAGGCCCTGCAAGTTGCCTTGATGGTCCAAAATCGCGCGCTCATAGACCTATGACCTTATGCAGTTGCGAGCACTGTAAAACACTTACACCCC